CTTACCCCAAACAGAGAGCCTGTTCACAGGCTATCACTCGCAAGGACCAAACCTCGTCCCCAAGGGTATCTCGGGCGGCCGCCATGTTGGAACTGAACGAGAAGACCCTGGGGTCGAGGTAGGAGTAAGGACCTCTTTGCCAGGGTTATTTCTGTTGCTTGGTAAAACCTTGCGAGAGTTTTGGAATATTTCTACAAACCAATTTTTTTCTAGATAACCCCTAATTTCGATGCTGCTAGTCGATGAAAAAATTGATCATCAGAAAGTAAACGAGTATTATCCTGTATTAAATAAAACATAAAACTCGATACAATAAATGAAAACCCTAATACAGGGTTTATACTACTACATGAAAAATTTCTGCAATTTGATTTGCTTAGAGCAGTGGTATTTCAGCTTAATTTGAAATACCTACATGTGAAAATTACAAACCTTTTGCGGGTAGTAGTATAAACTTATAATAGCATGATTTGTACTTGATATTTGGCATGAATACCACTCGTGATATTTCAAAATTGTCTCAAATTTCACTCGCCTAACGGCTCGTGAAATTACGTATAACAATTTTAAAATATCACTCATGGTATTTATGCCAAATATCACTACAAATAATGCTATTACCTATACAAATTGCTGTTTATTTTAACCTATTTATACAAATTTCAGTCACTACGCAAATTATTATGATACAGATCCTCACTTGCTCGTTCTTTTACGGACCTCGCTACTTCCACAAGTTACCCAGTACGGCCATTGCTGACATCGCTATAAAATACGTATTTTCAATGGAAATCGTCATTCAACTTCAGGTGGCTTCAAAGCAGATTTGCATAAATGCTCATATTACGTGGGGTCACGCAATATTGAACTTGTGGAGAGACTGCAAGATTAGGCTGATTTTTGCATTTTGTTACACATATACAGGTAATTACAAATACCGTAACCCATATATAAATCTTGAACATGCATTATTTACTAACAACGCGAACAATGACGTGAATCGCTACAAAATTTACTTATTCTGATACGTCAACACATATAATTTAAAGCGACTGTCGACGGAGGTAGACTAGTCTGCAATATTTACTGACGAGGCTGATAATAATAACTTTATTTAAGTCTCAAGCTTTTAGCTTAGCACAAGTGTTGAAACTAATTGGGAAACAGGTTCGATTAAAGTTGTGATCGAAAGAATCTACATGCAGGAGAAATCATGCTTCAAAAGAAATCAAAGTAAATACGAACTTGCAAATCGTGCGAGTTGCCCAATAAACAAACAGGCAGTTCTATTTTTTTCCCGCATCGACCCTCTACTGCAATCATTAAAGGGGAAAAAATAATAATGAGAAAAAACAGCAATTCCCGAAAATTATGTTGATGGGCCAGTCCGCAAAAGACTTACACTGCATTTTAATTCGAACACCTGAGTCGATGAAAGATGGGTTAATAATGTATTTAAAAAAAACGATTTCTTTTGTTTACAATTTTTTCCATTTGTCACTGCCAGCTGAAAAACTTTGAGGCTTTTTGTGGCTGAATTATTAGTGGAAAAGGTTTCGCCCCATGAAATACGGGGAAACCGCATTCGTGAATCCGGGAAATTTTCGCTTGTAGAATGAGTGGATTTTGGTCTTTGGAATCCGGAATACAGACCAAGTGATCCGGAATCCAAGTATTGGAAATTCAGTATCCGGAATCCGGAATCAACGGCGCGGAATCCAGAATCCACTACTGGCTTGGATTCCCTGGAGGTGGTTGCTAGGTTTTTAGGAGCCAGTAAGCTTGGTCAAGCTGAACTAATACGTCTTTGTTAACGTTGCTGTGGTTTTTAAAAGTACCAATTTACTACTCAATCAAACGCGATGTGAAGTGCAAAGCCTTTCTGGTCAGAAAACGAGTTTTACATTTGCATAAGAATACAAAATTCTTCATATTATGGCTTCGCAATCAGCCAAGCGTTGAAACAGAGCTTAATCGAATTTCGTTCAATTAGGTATGCCGGGTTGTACACCAGAGTTCTGGAAGGGTCTGTTTTTTATTGCAAGAATCTGTTTTATTTTTCTTTTCCAGGAGTAGGTTAATCAATTAAAAGTAGTACTCAGGCAAAAGCACAAGTCGTGATTTATGCGTTGTGCT